ACCAAATGACCCAAAGAGTGACTTCAGCATAGGAGGGTTAAGAGTTGTGGTAAAACAATTACATTATACTGTATGGTCCCTTAAACATTTGTTTTGACACGTATACATCCTCTAAAATGACTTGAGTATTTGTCATGGCAAGTCTCAAGTAAAAAATGGCTGCTCAAATCCTGACTTGAATCCGAGTCAACAACTTGAGTCAACAACACTAGCATCCACACACTCCAAGGCTGTGCTAAGTTCATCCTTCTGCCTGCAAATGGCATCTTCTAATTCTCTTCATTCGGAGTCTCCATTCATCCGTAAGGGCATTGCATCCTCGCATTGCCCTTCCTGTAAAGAAAATTGGCATATACATTTACATACGTATCCACCCAACTACAGTAGCATGTAAAGAGCAGCTTCAGAGCAGAGGTTAATGGAACTGTACGTGTATCATAGCTGTGGTTACCATGTAAGCCAGGAATTTTCAGAATAATTTGAATGTGGTATCGTCTGAGTCCTGACCAGAGCACTTGATGGATTGCTTTTTTATGGAAAACTGCCATACCTCTCTTAGATCATTACATGCTATAAAAATACAAATCAGATACAAATATCATTGGTATTTTTGTCATTAGAATGTCAGTTTTCATTAACAACATAAATGCGTACTGAAGAAAAAATAAAATAAAATTAAACTCAGTCATGAATGAAGGCTGCTGATAATGACTTACAGTGAAACCATGCATGCAATAAAACCCAAACAAAGGAGTCCCTACAAATGCTTTGAGGTTTCTGGCCTGTCTGCTTGTCTGTTACTGACTTGGCTTCTCTCTGCATGCTTTTAGTTCGCCTACACCTGTGTGCAGACCCTCCGCTTCAGCTTTGACTTGCTGTCGGGCTACAAGAGGGGAGTTCGGACAGAGAAGAAATGGCTCATGTACGTATCGAGCTAACTGCACACTTTCAGGAGATACATACTAATGGTGAAAGACTATTAATTTATATTTGCACCTTACATTGTCTCACAGCTTGACACTTGAGCTATACCTTTGAACAAGAAATGGTGTGTTTTTACACACTATGAAGTCAGTGCATTGGGGCATCAATGCATGTATATGCGCGCTTTGCATGGAGCACAAACAACTAGTTGTAATGGAATGTCTAGTTTTGGCTGTTGGGTGTCTCGTTTAAAAGGTCAACCCAACCAGTCTCTTTTTCTTGGTCTACATGTGAGGACACGTACAAAAAATGGTATTGACTAATTCAGCGACCAAAAATAGTAGCTGTTCCCGCGGCATCACCATGCTTGTGGACGTGTCTCTTCATCTGGTTGGTTGCTGTGGCTTGCCTGATGTGCATGCATCAAAATTTGGCATGCAACCATGTGTACATGAGATTGTGGTGCCACCAGAGCAGTGACATCTCCTTGGATTAGTCTGTAGTCGCTCCGCCCTTTTGCCCTCCAATACAGGTGATTCACACTGCAGTGCACCACCAAGCGGTTGTCATGGAGAGACCTTTTTGCAGTGCATCATGGATAAATAGTAGACAAAGTCTCCTTCGCTAACTGCACTGTGTGCAGAAAACTGGAATTTTTTCCGAACGGTTGTTTATCTCTATTGCAAATTTGAAACTGTTTTGCCAATGGGTGGGTAATCAAAATAGTGGTTTTGTGTGGTGCAGGGAATGACTGTATTAAATTATCCCCCAAATTGCGTACGGGTGCGCTTAATCGCAGCTGCGTGTCGACTGTAAACTTGAAAAGTCATGAAAGTAGCCCATCTGCGGCAAACTCTTGGTGCGCTGTATTGTGAATCGCCCGTACTCTTTGGATATCATTCCTGAACACAAATTTGATGCTGTAGACTTTGCTATGGATGGAGAAACTCAGTGGCACACTAACAAGGACATCTGTCATTCCTGCTGACTCAGTTTGTGAAACTATAGCAACTTTTCTGTTGGACAACCCCAAGCTACATGTATCAGTCTTTGCACAAGGCTCCAGCATATTTTTCTTGCCGAGAGATTGCTTTCGAAACTGACCAATTATCCTTGTCTTCTTGCAGCCGTATTATCTTCCTGGAGACGGTGGCTGGAGTCCCTGGAATGGTGGCCGCCATGACGAGGCATCTGCGTTCACTGAGACGAATGCAACGAGACCACGGATGGATCCACACGTTACTTGGTATACCTTCCATCGATTACAAACCAAAAACAGAGTTGTACCAAAAAGTTCAGGGCATCTTATGCTCACTTGTCATGTCCTTGTTTGCTAGCTTTCACAGGAGTTGTCAGTTTTGATGATTCAGACTCCAACAGTGACTGAATTTGTCTCTGTTTAATTTGCAGCTGCCAGGGTTGCTTGAAGTGTTGCTACAATGAATTGTCTTAGATGCAGGTTTTCTTCACTTTGTACTCTTCTTCAATGTATGAAAATTCTTTCACATTCCTCAATGGTTTAAATGCATTAAAAACTACACTTTTTTAAAACAGACTTATCCATGCTTTCCTGGACTACTGAGGGGGCTGTTGCTGTGAAGTCATCTAGGGAAGACACAGTTCAATGCATAGGCTTTTCTGTTCAAAATGTGAACCCAAAATTTACTAACTGGAAACATTTTAGAGAAAGGAATTGCTGCTTCTTATTGCTACATGTATGTAAATAAACAATGAAGAGGCAGTGAAGAGAAAACAGAGTCTGCAAAATCTATAAAAGTGCAGCACTTTTTTGTGTACATTTTTGAGTACAGTATTATGGTTTCTTCCTGAGATGACATCACAGTTTTGCTCAGGAATATGGAAAAATCTGTCAGCCTAAAAACCAAAAAAGGCAGTAATATATCCTTCAAAATAGTGAAACAAAAGCTGCAAATGAGGTTAACCAAGACAAATGTGCATTTTGAAGGTTTGTCTTAACCACTTGCTGCTGGGTGGAATTTGAAGTTGTATAATGTAAAACTGGGAGATTTTCTAGATTTTCCGTTGTCAAAATTCTTCCAAAAAATCATAACTTTATTTACTGAACGTTTACACCCACACAAATGATTGTCTGGTGGCTACTCTAATCTAACAGGCAATATCTGTTGATGTCGGAATCTTTCAGCCAGGCCTGCCACCTGGTAAAAAGAGCCCAGATAAGCTTCTTTGTTCCCGAAACTGGCACAGTGCGCGGCTGGTGTCTTTTCAATACAGGCTGGATTAGCCTGCAGTGATATTGTATCGCTCATCACTGTAGCGCTTTTGTCCCTGGTGGTAATCCGCTCGCACTGAATACCACAAACAGTGTTATTATCTTTCAAAACAATGACGGATTTCATCCTCTACTGACTACTGAAAAAATGTTAGCAATTCCCAGCAGCTTGGTCTTTTGTTCCGAGTACGGTCTTTTGTTATATGGCCATGCTCTTTTGCCCTGTTTTGGGCTCCCGGTTTAATGTATAAAGCCTATGTGCCTGAAACTGGGCTCCCTGACAGGTTAAAACAAATGGATTGCAGCCACCATTTAAAAGTAGTGTTTATTCCATTTCAGATATAATTGGACCAGACAGAGAAGGGGATATATGCTCATTTACAGAGAATGTGACAATAGTCGGATTTAAGTCACTGATGAATATGAAGAAAAAATGCTCGTACATGTGGTGTATCACAATGCGTTTGCCCTAGCAAATGCAGGCCATGACTTGGTCTGTAGGGCTGCTGCAGGCATGTCCACCTTTCTCAACATTCCCCTTTCCTGCTTCCTATTCATACATGGAGAGCCTCGAGTCAGGCAAAGCAGTCCTAGCATTAAACCAGAAGTATATCAAGAGTTTGACCCTCAATTTCTTTTGCTCCCGTTGATAGAGGAGGCTGAGAATGAGCGCATGCATCTGATGACAGCCCTGGAGCTGAGAAAGCCTGGTCGGCTCTTCACTATGGCCGTGCTTTTCACCCAAGGTATGCAGGACCATGTCTCAGATGGGCATGCCGCGGTGGCAAATAGAGAGAGTTGTGACATGAGTGTCTCAATTGTTGGAAGCAGAACGGTGGAATTTGCGTCACTGCACATGGACAGTTACCACATACACGTAGTAGATGCGTGCTGTTCTTCACATATAATGAACGGCCATTTTGGTTCCAAAGTCTGAAGTTGCCTCTACTTTCTGTATATACACTGTAAACTGGGCTGGTTTCATTCATTCGCTTAAGCTACAAAATCTTGCTTGACAAATTGGGTTACCGGCCAAAACTCCATGCATTCACCTGTCATTTAGTTAGCATGACAAGCACGTAGATTTTGAGCTGGTAACCTTTGTCTTTTAAGCAAGGATGTTTTGCCCCTAAGCAAATTTTGTGCTCAGTCCTACAATTATCATCCATTATTTCTCAAATGTGTTTCTTATGGGGTGGGGGCTGTTCACTGCCTGGATCCTTTAAAATCCTTTGGCAATTACTGTCAGTATGCTGAGGCATTGCATATAATATCATTGAGCAGTGTGGATGATTTTAGGTATAATCTGGACAAAAACGTGTGCAGGGCTGAGCATGAACTAAAAGACGTCTGGTCAAAGACCTTAAAAGATGCAGCGTCCGAATGGCACACATGATCTTGTTCCATACAGCTCAATACCACAAACCCTCCACTTGTGCAACGATGATTGTGGAGGATTGAGAAGCTGATGATTAATTGCTCCATGCTGGAACTACATGTAAATAGAGGGCAGTGTACAACTTGATCATAGCAGCCAAGGGAGGACGCACACTGGACACCACAGCAGAGTTGTGTATAGAGCAAATTGCGACATGCATGTCACCATTGTTGGAAACAAAATGTCAGGTGTATGCACCGACAAGTTTGAAATACATGTGGTAGCATGGTCCAATGAACTGCCATTTTGTTTCCACAATCTGAAGCTAGCACTACTGTCTCTGTATACAGCTCTGCACCACAGAGCCTGAGCACGGCTTTGTGAGCATTATATTGTGCAGTGGAAATGCATTCAGTGAAGAAGCATTCACTGTTGTGCGCGAACTTTGCTTCTGCAATGTCAAGGGCCCAGTGTACGTTTCTCAAATCAGAGTACATGTAACCACACTACCAGATCAAAAATTAGATCAATGCCTTCCTTTTCGTCTTGGGAGGGCCGGGGGAGCCTGCTGCACTTGCTCAAAAGAATGTGCACTGGTCACTGGTTGTAAACGGGCAATTTCCATCTCCTCCAAACATTCCTCGTGGTCAGTGGTGTCAGGTGAAATTTCCGAGGGGGAATCCAGTGGCATGGTGCACCCATTTCTTCAAGGGGGCCATTGAAAACAAATGACATGTTTCTTCATGCATGTAGGTCACATACATTTCTGATAGGGGTTGTGACGGGGAATGGAACATATGCCCCCCTTCCTCGTAGTTAGCCACTACTCAGGGTCAAGTCAAATGTCAAGCCAATTTAACACTGACTGATAGCAGGCTGTATGTTTAGAGACTATTGCAAGGTCCTGTCACAACTTTAAAAATCTTCAATGTTTTGCTCCCTTTCGAGTATAATGTCAGGTTTGTGTTTGTATTTTCTTGCAGGAATCTTTGTGAACATGTTCTTCTTGGCCTACCTGTGTAGTCCTCGTTTCTGCCATCGGTTCGTGGGCTACCTAGAGGAAGAAGCCGTCATCACGTACACCAAACTCATCCAGGTAACCAGAGTTCTCTCTGGCATACCTTCCCAGCTGTACAGACAGAGAATTCCCCCCAGGCTCCTTGTAGGAGGGGGAGATGGCACTGTGTTGCCTATTCATGGACGTCAGCATGCATGAGACTCAATTGTCCAACCCAGTTCGCGCGAATGTGCAAGGGCAGTTTTCATTTGAATGTGCACAATCTTGTCACTTGCAATTGTGTAGAAGTGCCTATCTCATGTCTCTCACTGTCGTGGTTGGGTTATATTCGTTTGGGGAGCTCATCAGAGCTCAGCTAAAATAGCCAAGTTTACCTGAACCTGAAAACGGAAAGACAGACTATAAAGACTTGTTTGTGGACTCCATCTACATGTAGTTGTTTGTGAAGGTCTCGTGCCATTTTTTGGTCTTTGTATGGTCTGGACTCACTAGCTTAAGCCTGGACATCAGTCTTGCTCCTGTTAAATCCTCAAAAAGTACAATGCATGCTGGAGTCAGGGGCATTTATCTCATTTTTTTGTACCCCATGCCATCGTTGGTTTTACCCTGGAGGCCACAATCAGTTTGGAATCAAAATACTCCAAACTTCAGCCTGCTGGTGAACGAGCTTTTGTTTGTAAGGCTGTATGAATGGAATAATTGAATATTTGAATTTGCAACCTTCCAATTGATTAAATATTAAAAGATTTAATCGTTCCAAATTCCTACAAAAGCAGAAACAGAATACACATATTTATAAAATGCAAAAATTTAAAACTGGAAACTTTGGCCTTATTTATTGCTGGTCACATGCATTAACCTGCCTTTAAATAGTATCTTTAAGATATAATGCTTTAGAATGCAATTGTGAAGTAAATGGAGCTGAATGCAGCGAGCTTAAGAGCCTCAACTCATCTTGGGACTAACTCTATGGAGCCAAAGTCCAAAGCTGAAAATGGAGACAAAGCTAAGTTGCGGAAAAAGGTCATCAGAGACTTGATGAGGCCACATTTTCCCTTGTCTGTGCCTCTGGTTATAACAAGGGCTAGACCACATCACCACATACATTTGATCCTTTCCTAGATTGACACTGGCTTCTTTTGTTCTAGGACTTGGATAATAAAAAGCTTTTGGTCTGGGGGAACATGGCCGCTCCGGATCTTGCCATCAGATACTGGAAACTGAAGGTCAGTTATAAAGCGAACCTATCCCATCAGGTTTCTGGCTGTGCAAATCACTTGCGGTATTGAAGCTCTCATTGCTACTTTTGTTAAAGTCTGATTTTTATGATCAAAGAGTCATAGTTTTATTCCTCCAAAAAGTAAGTGTTTCAGTCGTGCAGAGCCTTAGAAATATTGGGGGAAAATGTCTTTTGATGCGGAGGTAATTGCACTAGTAGTTTGTCTCGGACTGTCTTTTCCTGTCCCTTCAGTTGGAAAACGTGAAAAGAGATGTTGGTTGAGCCTTATTGCTTTTTTTACAGATTCAATATCCAACAGAGCTTGAAGGATACTTTGAAATGTTACAAGTGGTCATGTCCAGCAGTGACTTCATTTCATGTACCCAGTCTGTTTATTATGTAAAGGTGTCCAACATCAGTGGATTCGCTGACAAAGATGAACTACACAATTTTTTTTCTGGGAGCGGAACAGTGTTTTTGCTGTTTTTTGATGAGCAACAGTAATCTAAATCTTCCTCACAACTTCAACACCTCGAAAATGGGAAAAATCCCTGTGAAACACTCTTGAGTGTTGATGTCTCTGTTGAAAAAGGATCATGTAATTTATGTGATAATGTTTCTATTTCTGGTAGCCCGATGCCAACATGCGGGATATGATTTTAGCCATCCGCGCTGACGAAGCCCATCACAGGAAGGTCAACCACTTTCTGAGCGACCTCAAACCCGACGACAGCAATCCCTTCCCACCGGGACAATGAAGGGACAGATCGACTGTAATCCCTCTGGACTTGAATTAGGTTCCTCCCCCATGGAATATTCATTGGTGGTTGTACACAGGGGAAATTAAGTAGCAAAAGTAACTATGCCTTTCACCTAGTATCTCCGCTGTCTACTGAATGGAAGGCTAATAACAAGTCAGCTTGACATGCCAACTGCATGTATTTATGCAAACGTCAAAATGTGACAGATTCCTTTTCAATGGTTTAGTGTATATGAGCTCACATGTACGCAGCCTTCAAACTACACGTAGCAAAAGTTTTAGTAATGCATTCCAAGTACAATGAGAACTTATAACTTGACCAATTGTAAATTAAATATTTATTATTGCACAAAACAATTACTTTTTGTCAACACGGTTTTCCCCTTTATATGTACATGCATTTATGTTCTGTTGAAGTTGAAAGTGGCAAGTTTGGATGCATTCATCCACACTTGGAAGACACAAGTGGTTTACTTACACAGTTTCAAATCCCACCTTTTTTGTCAGTTATTAGATTAGATTCAGTGTACGATCATGACTTGTGAAATTGAGCAACTTCAAAAACAATTCGTACAAAAGTATTTTATGATGGTTGTCTACTGAAAAAATGTTAATTTTCATTTTGTTACATTTCTGAGATCAACAAGCAAAGTGTTTCATCAGTGTCGTAATAACCCAGTCATATAAGAGTTTGTCTTTAAAAAAATTATGTATTGCATCTATCCAAATGTGAGGCATTAAATGACGTGAAACTCCAGAATCCATTAAGAATGGTGCAGTGTTAAAATATCCAGTCACTGATTAATCCTAAACAGTTCTGAAAGGATGTCAACTATTAACTTCTCCCTGGATAGATTGCTGAATGTCGGGAAGATCAAAAGGAATTGGCTAAGAGCAATACCATTATATGCTGGATTCAGAGCTGAAATGTGAAAGTCATACACATTCATCATTACCAGAACAATTACAGTTGCTGTGTGAAGCAAATCGAATGAGAAAATGTAAATTTCTGTAGCCGTTCACCTCTAAGTGTATCTGAGAAGCATGTAACAACTTCTAGTGCTTTACACCTGTGCCTTCCCCCTTAGGCCCAGGGTCACAGTTTGTGTTGTACAGTACCATGTTAATTATCATAAGGGGTGCTGTCCAGTAAAAAAACTGTGTCTGTTTGACCCGGCGATAATGTCCTGTGTACAAGTACATGTAGTTGGTATCTGGTGAATGGTACCTGATAATCATTTTTAAGCTGTAACAGAATTTGCGTTGAGGCTCCATTACAGTGTCATCTAAAATTTGCCATGCTGGTGCTGTTATATTGAGTGCATCTTGCCGTAACAACATAGAGCACTGCAGATGTACATGTTTAGTCATTTCTATCTCCTGTAGTTGGCGTCTTTCGTTTGTTGGCCTTCGGTTATTTGTTCTGGAGTGTAGAGTCGGTTTTTAGTTACACATGTATATAGGGAATTTAGAAGATTCCTTACTAACTTATTAGAAATGAGAGCCTGAAATATGGCCATTTACCAGAAGTTGTTTGTCAATCAACAGGAAAAAACAATTTAGCTACCGAGATACTTCTATTTTTGGAAACTGTGTTATGTAGACGACTAGAAAATCTTACATTAACTAACATTTAAGAGTTATTTGCATGTAGGATTTTTTGTCCCACAGGTTTTTAAAAGGTATTTATCATTGATGCTGTACTTCATAGAGTATATTTGTTACAAAGAGGTTTATCGAAAGTACTAGTGAGCTCAAAGTTTTATCAAGATGGTGTGCAAATAAATGTGTTTAGGCCTGTGCAAAGCTGCCCTCCCAGTGTATGGTGGTGTAATGCTGCGCTCTTAAACCTTAAGTGCACAAATGCTGAGGGGGTGTATCAGTTTGGCCCAAACAATTATACACCTCTTTGGCGGAAGGGGGGGGTAACGTTTGATCAATCCCCAACGGGACATTAGTTTTTAAGATAATGGAAATAATTTCATTTCTCTTTCTACCTCAGGGCTTGAAGACCTCCCCCTACACGCACACATTTAGCCCTGCTCCTTAACAAAATTCATAAAACAACGAGAAAAAAATGGTTTGCCAAAACAATTGGCTCAGGATCAGGCCTTTTGGCAGTTTTTCTTTTTAATTTCAGCCTTATTCTGTCGGTTAGAAATATACAGGAGACGGTCCTTCACTGTCAAGCGGTCGCGTACACGCGTCAGCGGGAGGTTTCGGTTCCATCTGTGAACGCACGAGGACGATGATTGAAACAATTGTCATGAACACGACCAAGTTGTTGAAACTGACATCTCACCGGTGCTTATTCTGTGTTGTTTAGTTTTGCACCTGCACGTCTTTTTTATCTGAGGTACGTGATCGACTATATTTTTATAATTTTCTTTGAATTTTTAATTTTTATTTAATTTTTTGGAAAAGAAGCATATGCCCTTTTGATTTTTAATAACGTTTAGGACACACGTTTGAAACATTCTCTTCAAATCAAGGGTACGAGGGTGTGGAAAACCTGTACAAAAATAATAGAAGATAAAGCAATTACGAACAGAAAGGCAATCGCCCCCGCCTTCTACGTGGGGCAAAGCATTAGGGTCCATTTCGTGGAAGGGGGCGGGCTAGCGAGTAGAAGTTTTTTTTCTCAAGAACATAAGTTAAACTTGGCGGGGAATCAGTCAGCAGTATTTGTTTCATGGAATTTTGGCTGGTCTGCGAAGTCAGCATTTGCTTAGCTAAGAAAAGCTGTGTGCTAAGCAAATTCTGCGAGATTGATTCCTATAGTATAATTCGACAACCAGGATTACAAGCAATTACTGCGGTGGCACAACGCCCGTGGACAGGTGGTACGCGCGCGTGCGTTACATGCGTCTCAAGTGCACGCGCACGTAAAGCATAAGAATGTGCGTATGAGTGCGGTGCCATCGCAATTATGGTTTCTAATCGACGAGGCTGTATTGGGGACATAGTTCCTTTTTTAAAAAAAAAATAACTTTCACTCGTAAGTTCGATTTATTACTCGTATGATTCCAGTTAGCTCAAGCAGGAGAAAAAAATGCATCATGTCTTGAACACAGCTTTGTATAATACATCTTCGAAAAAAAAAGGAAGAATCCGGGGGGTGTTGAAAATGACAGCCTAGAGCTTTTTCAGTAATAAGTCTTGCAGTAAATCAGTCTGACTTATTTCTTCATCCAAGCTGTCAGCTTGGAAAGATCACCTGTCGAATTCCCTTTTGTTCTGTCTTTCTCAAATAATTAATCAAATTATGTGGAATTTTTAAAATGCCAGTGGGATCAACGAGCAGGTCCTAGTCACGTTAGCGCCCTGAAGCGTTTGTTTGTGGTAAATATCTGCTTCCTCGCTGTAATAAGTTTCTTGGGAGTCATTTCTCCTTTAGCAATGATATTTCAATCAAGACACAGCTGAGAGGTCAGCATCCACATCTTGGGCGCGAGCGGTTTATTACTTGTGCAAAGCGTTAAAATTGAAAACAAATTGCTAGATAGTCGGTTTTTGTCAGTGAGCTTCAGTCGAACTCCATTGGTGCAACTCTAGTCAGATTAGTAACATTATTGGCTAAGTTCCGATTTAATTGGATGGTTGATCATCCGTGCAAAGGTAAAAAAAAATGATAACGTGTAAATTGCATTTAGATGGCAACGGTATTGCGCTTGGATAAGCGTTTTTACTAAACCAATAACCAACTTGTCACCAGGTCTAGTAAAGCGTCCGCAGTAACGCCTGCAGCTCCCGTTTGTCTTTTCTTGTGCGCAAAGCAAACACTGTGTTCAAACAAATATCGTTTGAACGTTTGCTTGGTTTTTAAACACGCGCGTGCCAGCTGCGTCAACTTTCCCGTTGAGGAGATCCAAGTCGCTACACTCCAGCATTAAAAATCCACATCGGCCGACTCGGAGGACTTCCAAGGGACTGTAAATCTGAAACAGCTTTTAGATGAAATGACTCATGTATATACCCATTCCCAGTCTTAAATGCAAATATTAGTCAGTACAAACGAATGTACTTGTGTTGCCAACTATATGAAAGTTGAAAGAACGCCATTATAAACTGGAAATAGGCCTAATATGTTTGCAGTTACACCGCCTTATTTCGGGCATTGGATCATGTCCACGGACGCTGAAACATGACATATAATTATGTAATCCAGGGAACACAAACAAGCAGCAGCCAACACATGTTCTCGAGGTTGAAGTACACTTCAACTGTACATTTAGCCAACTGAAGTGGCAGACCCAATTAATGAGTACCCTATAATACTTTTTTTTACCATCCATGCGGAAACTAATCTTGGTTCACGGAGAGAAGTGTGAAATACGAACGGTAGTATTTATAATCTGCTTCGTTTGACTGGATTAAAATGTTGCACATATGGGCCCGCGAGGCGGAAATGTCTTTTGCTTATCTGAAGGTAAAAAAAATGTTACAATTAACCTAGCTGAGATACAATTACATCGGATAGGGGGTGGAATTAGCCGCCTATTGTGCGAAATGTATTTCCACACAAAATATGTTTAATAAACTTGCTTGAAATTCAAACACCCCATGCAAACAGGAATGGTGTCGGAGAAGGGTTAGATGTCATGTTTAATTTAAAAATGAAATTCCCTTTGCTCATGTGCAGAAACGGATATGCGTTAATAGTTAGTTAGTTGTGAAAAAAGCACAATGGAAATCGTTGGATTGGCAACAAGAATATGGATAGTGGTTCCGAACAATATAGAGCTCGATAAATTGTCTTGCCAACGATCGACGGTGCAAACCCTAACAGGTGGAGATAGCTGTTATAATTCTCACAATGACCGTTACGATCTCGAGTATGCACGTCGCCATTATAGCACATGGCATTTAGTGCTACGATGAAAAATATTAATTCTTCAAATAAAACAAGCATTCAGTTAATCCCACAGCGTGTTTCCCTAAAATCACGGCTTTGTATAACATTGCCGATTCATTAAAGTGTTTTGTTTTGTTTTGTTTTTTTGTCTGTTTGTTGTTGTTGTTTTGACCTATGGTAAAAGACGAGGAAGTGATTTCAATGTTAAATACTGATACGAGTGCACTCAAATTCGGAACCAGTCTACTGCCCCGGTGTCTGTAGCATTCACGCTCTGCTGTTGAAAAAGGCTTCCCACAAAAAATGATAAATTTGCAAATTTTTCAATATACTTCTGTACGACCCGATCAATATTATGCCACGAAAGTGAAAGCAAACACACAAGGTCGATCTGGACACCTGTTTCAGGTTTATTTGCATATACGGACACCAGCTTGACACATTAGTTCATTCATTTTCAAAGCACAAGGAGCGATATACGCAACCGGCGATGTGTGGCTGCGGACTTAATTAATGGAATATGAGCAAACGAAGTCCCTCCACTGCAAAGCTTAGCTTATTATTTTTCTTGAGAACTGGCGACTGAACCAGTCGTCCAGTATTTCAGCTTTTACCTCGCAAATGACCCCGGCGGGAAAGGTGCGATAGACAGTAATGATGAATGATATTGATATCTGTGCATTATTATAATTGTCATTTTAATTGTCTGATTTAATAATGCAGGCACCTACGGAATTTGGACGCTCGTTTTGAGACTTTTTTCAGTGTTCAATTATTAATGTTATATTCCTAAACAGGGCCAGATGAACTACTCCCTAGGCCTTTGGCACCAGTGCTTGGTAGGCCCTTATTGGTTCAAGGTATATACCAGCACAGATTTCTTAATGCTAGTAGGCCTGAGCGTTGGAACCTTGCATTTCATGCTGATGGAAAGCTCCACAAAGTACACAACTTAATTATAAATTACAAGCTATTTAAGTCAACAAGAGAAATAAGACTGTTTAAAACCTTGTGTTTGGCACACTGTTTTTTTCTTTCTTTGTTTTGTTTTGTGTTTTGTTTTGTTTTGTTTTGCTTTGATAGATCATACATTGTTCACAGGGCCGCACAATCTTTATACTGAGTCCACAAATAATTCAGCTCTATCCCTACAACGGGGACTTTTACTTGATACCACTAACCACTATAGCCGCTAGAGGACACTACAAGTCATGAAGGTGTGTTGTTAACGGCTATGCGGTATATATGTTTACTACAGGTAACGCCGTTAATGTCTTTTCATCATTACACGTTGGGTCCGTGTTGCCACTTCAACTACGAATCGTCATTTCAGTCAGACCCTCATGCTGTGATTCGTGAACTTTACTTACAACTGTCTTCATTGACAACGATTGTGTTTGCCCGTTCGAGGAGAAAAAATAACCGCGGTTTGCCTCGTAATTATCAGTCAAAGTGAAACTTGAGTGTTAACACAACAGGCAGCCTTTCCAACATGTCCGGGCCAATCGGCGCCTGTACGTAGAGCGGCGCAGCGCCGAAAAAGCATTTGTTCCCAATATCGATGTAATTAGCTGGCTCAGTCTCGGCTTGTTGGGTCTACACTCATTTTATTTAATTATGATGACCAACAATTCTTCTGCATATTTCGTGGGTTTGGGCTGTAGATTGACGGTAATTTATTAGAAAATTCACAAAATGACACAAAAGAGCTGCCTTTTATTAATGGGAAAACCTTTTTGTAGTTTTCCCCAAACGTTGAGGAATCTCGCTTTTCCGAGAAAATGAATGGGTTGATTGTATTCAGATCTTGTTCCTTTTGACTAAATTTTCCAGACAAGACCTGAGGTAGAGGCCAATAATTTAAAAGCTGAATTTCAGAAATCAGGGGGGAGGGGTATTACTTCAAATTTTTAAAGAAGGGATACGGAGGTCGATTCAGTTCCTTAGGCCT